ATCTACAAATGTGCTGGGCCACAGTCATAGCTGTTCTGGGACACAGCCCCAGATTGAACAGGTTGAACATGCCTACCACAGTCCTCCTTTTCTGTGGAAAAAATCACTAAGTAGCCATCACCTCAGCACTTGTGCCTTAGGGTGTGTGTGTGTGTGTGTGTGTGTGTGTGTGTGTGTGTGTGTGTGTGTGTGTGATTCAACTGCTTCCCTGCAAGGTGAAGACACTGTAAGAATCTGCAAATGGTTCCTTCCACCTCTCTATTCCCTTCACTGGGCTTGCAGAGGAGGAGGGGGAGGAGGAGGAAGATGAGGAAGAGTGAAATGCTAAAGGAGGGGAGGTGCCTGTTACTGACATCGTAGGTAGGTGCTTTTCCCCCTCACACCCTCCCAGGATGTCTCTCCCCACAGAAGCTGCTCTAGAACATGGACTTTGGTGAGTGAGACCCAACCTCCCCCAACGACTTTCCCATTGGCAAATTCTTCGACCAGATGCAGTGAAGGGACCTCACAGGGTCAGGTAAGAACCATGTTGCTCTAGCTAGGTTGATTTAGCTGGAAAAACACCTAGGGTAGGTATTTATGTTTCCCAACTTCCAAAGCAGATTACGGAGTCACCAGCCTTTGCCAAGGCTGGACAAGACAGAAGCTGCTTTCCACACGATGAGATGACACAGATGGAGTCAGGATGTGCCCTTTCCTTGCCTCCACATCCCTCTAGTTCTCTCTGTGCTGACGCTTGCTTTAGAGCCAGGGCTTTGTTGAGGAACAGAATCAGCCAGGACACTTACAGCAAGTTTTGGCTTTCCTGGGCTTTGAGTAGCTCTTCTGAAAGCCAGACAATCCTTCCTCAGGTCCTTGTTCAATTGTTTCTAGCTCCTAAATGAGGACATTTCAGTTACTCAAAATCCCAGGATGGAGGGGCCATCCATCCCCTTGGCGACATTTGAAATGTGCTACTAGAAGGCTAAAAACCCTGAGTATCAGATTTGACTCCATGCTTGGTCTGGATCCTTGCTCTCTCGGCCTGCCTTTAGGAGCAGTGGAGTGTGTCTCCTGGCCTCGGTACAACAGCCACTTTCCTTCTCCTGACTTCCAGAGTGTTTGCAGAAATGTGCTGGTTTTGGCAAAGGAAGGGTTGCCTACTGTGTTCAGTTAGGGTGTCTGGAGCTCCAGATGGCTGAGAGGTATGAGACAGGAACACAGACCTTCTTTTCATAGTACCCAGAATTTGGAACCAGGGTACCAGAGGAAGGTAAACGACAGAGTTGGGCCTTGGATTCCTAGTCAGGTTAAGAAAGATGGGAGCCACAACTAACAGGGATGACATTTACAAATCAAACAAGGTCTATGAAAGTCTCTCTCTTTTAACCTGTAGATATGAAGAGCCTTCTAGGACCAGGCAGAAAGGAACTAATTGGACTTTGTATAATATGGTCTCATACATGAAAAGATCAGAAATCAAAGAGACAGACCTAGTCATAGGACAGATGAAAACACATGGCCTACACTCCTTCATGACCCTTTGGTCCCCAGCTGCGGGGTAATTTCCCTGCCATTCAGGGACTATCAGGATTGCAGAAGGTCTAGTAGTTATGTTAAAAACAGTCCTTGGGAAAATTCCATGTTGGGTGGAGAGTAGACAGTCTGGTGTAGATGTTTACTGGCTTTCCTACTCACTGATCCCCTCTGTCCTGGAGACAGGCAATGTGTGTCAGTCTTACTCAGGTGGTCATGAAGCCAAGCATGAAAAGGACATTGGCCACTGAACCTCTGTCCTTCCTAGCAACAAAGGGCAAGAGGCCCATTGTCCCTGATGATGCCATTCTTGCAGGGTGCAGCGTATGAGTGAAAGGCTGCTCTGGTCTTCTTGGCCGTAAGGGAGAAGGTAGCCTGTAGGTATGACTGGTTGGGGAACCACACTGGGTAGAGTCCTGGCAGGAGCTGCAGGAGCTTGGCCTGTAGCTTATGTCATTGCTCAGTAGAATCTGGCAATGCAGATCAAAGCTTCCCAAGGAAAACAAGGCAGCACAGGGAAACTGAGTATGCATGTCTGTGGGTGGGATCAATGAAAACACACATTTCCCTGTGGGTCAGATGTATGCAAGAACCAGACAGCCAGTCAGAAGGGCTCCCCTCTCTATAGTCACCATAGTCACATCAACACAGTAGCAGAACTTGGCAGAAACAAGACAAAGGAAGCCAACTAATCCTCACATCTAGAAGCCCTTATGGGTACTGCAAAGGATGCTGGGTTATCGGCACATGGAAGTCTAAGGAGGAGCGCTGTTTTTAGACTCTGGTTAACCTGTGGACACTGGGCACCTCTCTCTGCATTTTCATGAAAGATCCTTGTTGGAATTTCTAGCAGATTCTCAAATAATCTCTAAAATAGGCTGGAAGGACACTGGGACCAGACGATATTCTGTACATAGGTAAGTTCTGGGTGAATGGTTGAGTCTTATTTTCCCCACAGCCCTTCTTTTCAACCATTCTTGTTACGATACAATCAAAGGACCTGGTACTAACTGCAAGAGTTGCTGAAGGCAGACACAGACCAGCCTAAATGAAAATTGAATCCTGATGCCCCGCCCTTGTCAAGATCCCCTGCTTCCCTGCCTTCCTGCTTTGGAAGAGGGAGAGGCTGAGTGGTTTCTAGAAGGACCACAGTTCCATCCAATTACCTTTCTCTAGCCACGGCTATGGCAATCTGTGTTTGGGCAAGTCATGTGTCAAAGATGAATCTGGCCTACCACCGCCCCAGCCTGACTGTCACCGCATCCTTTCAGTCCGAGTGCTTGGGAAAGCCAGCCACCTCTCCACCGGAGCATCTTGGACAAGCAGGTATCCACAGAGAATGGCAGAAGGCAGCAAGTGAAGACCTGGATGAAACGTGTCCTGATCTTGCAAAGCAAGATGTGGCATGGACTGTCTTACCACCCGGTTTTGGAAAGATCAAGGGAAATGGAAACAAAATACAAGATATGCAAAATGGTACCTCCTAGACCTGCCGGCAGAGAGCAGAGGACTGACACCGGGGGATACCTTTGTTCACTTTGCAAATGAAAGAAAACCATCTCCTCCCCAACCACATGTAGAAAAAGCACTTAAGAGTTCGAAGGTAAAGCTTGTCACACTCCAAATACAAAATGATTTACTTTACATGCAGCAAAATATACAAGAAGTGAATTTTAAAACAAACTTAAGTCATTATATTTGCTTGGCACAATTGCAATTCAGTTTTAAAAAAATATTTGAAAAATACTGAAACTGACCTGAATTCAAGTATAACAGTTTCTTCAACAGAAACATTATCAATGCAATAAAACGTTACACAGAATATATCGAAGCAAAATGTCTTCTTGAGTTTTTTCCCTTAAATTTTGTGTTTTTTTTTAAAATAGAATTTTAATGCTGACACAACTCACAATCGTATTTTAAAATGGATATTATTGCATTGCTTTTGCATATCTCGTGGGACAGGAAATGCCGTTACCGATTCTCGTTTCAGAAGCAGAAGCGGAGACAGTGATTTGTTTTTGCTTTCGAATCGCCCCAGATTCAGAACTCCCTGCAGTCAAACCGGAACCGGGATCTACGGACTTTTGTGTGGGGGTGGGGGTTGGGTGGAGGGGGTGCGCACGCACCACCATGTGGGTGCACACACGCACAGACGACCCACTATGGACACACGTGTGACACACAGATGCTCATACATCCTCTCTCTTGAACCTATCCATACGCCCAGCTAAGAAAGGAGCCCAGCTCAACCGCCCAGGCGCGCAACACCTTATCTAACAGCCTGTTACCTGCAGATTGTGACGCTCAACCGAACCAGAAAGAAAGAGGGAAAAGGTGCTGTTACTTAAGGAAATTGTAACAAGTTACTGGGCATACACAGAGCAGGTAAACCTTCCTGTGGTGATATTGAGCCCTCGCTTCACGGGTGGAAAATGAGGGGTGGGGGAGAAAACCGCACCATTTAAAGAATATAATAAAACCAAATCCGATTTAAATAACCCAAATGTGGAAATATTGACTGAGGCTGCGCAACTGTAGACGCTCTTCTTCCTCCCTTCCCTGTGGGAAAGCACAACAAATAAAAAATGATAAAGAAACTAAAACCCAGAAAACCGAAACATGCTAACAAGATCCATCACACCATGAAACCAAGATTACTAGGCAGCAGCCTGCGCCCCCTGGCCTGGCTAGCTGAGGGCAGGTGGTGTGGTCTGCACTGGCTCCCACCACCTGCACCTCGGCTCCTGCAGAGGAAGAGTCCCAGAAGGGACCAGGCCCACACTGCTGGGAACCTTGCAGCCCTTTCCAGGGGCCCCTTCCCGGGGCGCTGGCCTACTCCCGCCATAGATTCCTGGGTCCCTACACCATAGAGACGGCCAGGCTCAGACAGAACATGTGCAAATGACTGTTTATACAAGCAAGGGGAAAACACCCTTTTGCTTAGGGGTGGGGTGGGGTCCTTTGGGCGGTGCTGCCCCGGGAAGGCGCTGGAGCCCTGCACCACGGCCTTGGCCTTCTCCCCTGAAAAGCCGACTCCGCAGACCGCCCAGCTCTGAGGCTTGTCCCGACAGCAGTGAATGAAGACGCTGTTCCGGTTACCTCCAGGTCACGAGAACAGTGAGGCACTTCTGAAACGAACCCATTAGGAACATTGAAACGAATAAAAAACACCCGCGTCTCGCCAGGCCTGTGGACTACAGGTTGCTGACGTAGGCCCTGCTGTCCGGGAGCGCCTCCTCGCTCCGGCCTCGCCCCAGGGCATATGCGCAGCTCTCGTCCTCTGGGACCACAGCCCTGTCCTGCCCTGGGTCCCTGCAGTTCACAAAAGGTAAGAGGGTGCCGTTGGGGCTCTGCTGGGCGCCCCCACTGAGGATGTTGTCTGCGGCATTCTCCATCTCCTCTATTGTCATGTCACAGGCGTCAGCCAGCTCCTGGGTGGTGACCTCGATGAACTTGGGATCTTGAGCAAACTGTCCCAGTCCTTCTGAAATTAAGACCTGAAAAGGAGGGGCACAAAGAAGACAGAGGGGCGAGGTCACCGGAGTTCCAAGCTCCCCAAGGATGAAGTCGCAGGCTGCTGCAAGCAGAGCATCTGTGTGTACATAACATGTGCATGTGGGTATGTGTATTAGGATGCATGTTCGTGTGTCGGTATTTGTGTGCTAGGAGGGACATTCACAGGAAAGCAGGGATGGAGTATGGGCCACAGGAAGTGGGCATGCGCAGATCAGTGGCGAGCGCTTTAGGTTGGAGGATTCAAACACCATCATATCACCAAACGAGGAGAAACTTGCAGAGAGGCTGTGGCCTCTGCTCTGCCTTTTCACGGGCGGATCTTTTCTTTTCTCCTCTCTGGCCCCCAAGACATCTTTTTATATTGCTCTTTCCAAGAAGCCTTAGTTTTCATTTGGTGTTTAAGCACTGTCCCCCTACCCCTGGCCAGCTGTTTGCAGCTCCAGGGTTCCTTGGACAGGACACATGCTCTGCTTTTGTTTGAGAGAGCTGCAGGTGACCATCACGGGTCCACCCTTCCTCCTAGCTGCTTTAGTGACTAGTGAGAAGGAAGTTTACTAAGTCTCTGAGCCAAGGGGTAGAAGGATATGGCAGAGTGAGGGCGGTCTCTTTTTCTCCTACGCATCCGTTCCTCCTCTTCTGCCTGAGAATCACTCTCTCCTTACCTTGCCCGACTTTTCCACTGATACCCTGCCAGTTCCGGCCACATAATGCTTACTTTTTAATCTGTTTGTCCTCGCCACCACAGTGGGAGCTCATGAGAGCTGAAATCCATTTTCCCAGATGTCTCACTATACCTATAGTCTCCGCACCTAGTAAGATTCTCAGAGATTTTTGAGATGAGGCTCGAGTGAAGAATTAGTGTTTCAGAGTTGGAAAGGACCAGAGTTACTTAATTGAACTCTACTCTCAGGTCCGTCTGACCACAGGACAGATGCAGCCTCTGCTTGGCATGTCCAGTGATTGAGGCTGACTCCTTTACCATTCTCCTCTTATTGGGGAGAGCTGTGTTGGCAAGGTCTTCCCTCTACCAGTTCTCCTAGGAGATGGTTTCTGAGGACCTTGCCACAGTCTTTGGGGTTTGCTTCAGTTTGTCAAAGGCCCCTAAAATGTGGTGCTAGGATTGGAATAGACAGGGGCAGAGGACTAGGGAATCTAAAATCTCTCTAAAGGAGGAACAGAAGCCAAGGAGAAAAAGTGCCCTCTTAAACTTGGACACTCGTGTGTTAGAGTCACTGGAAGATTGGAAATGCCCGTTTCCCTTGGCAAGCTTCCAAAGCTCCGGGGCGTTGTTCTCCTGAGCAGTCAGAATTGAGCACAGTGAACCCTGGCCCTCTTTGTAGGAACAAGCCCCAGCACGTGTGAACTCTGGGATGCAGCAGAACTTTTCTTGGGGTTCACCGGCCCGCACTTTACTAAGGCTTTCTCCCTGTTCTTCATCACCAGTGGCTATTGTCTTGGCCAGTCACAGCTGTAATTTTCTGCAGGCCAGGCCCTCCTTCAGCATCTCTAGTTTAAACCCTTGACACCCAGTCTCCTTGGGAAGGAGCCAGGCTTCCTTCTCTGTACAAAAGTCTCCTGTTTTCTGGGGCCTCTCCCTCCCCAGGAGTTTGGATTCACATACCGCTTCCACCAGGCTGCTGGCGCTGCCATGGAACTGTCTCCCTGGAGCTCCAGCCTGGCTGGGCACCGTGAGGGAGACAGGCCGGGCTCTCCGGGCCATGCTGCCGCCGCCGCCACTACAGGCAGTGGTCTCCTCCGACCAGGAGCTGCAGTGGATGGACGGGAAGCTGCTGTTGAGTTTCTCGCTGGACTCAGCCCCCTCCAGCCGTAGGGTGGGGATGGGCTGTAGGGGCCTGCCCCGGTTGCCTGGGGTGACAGGGGGTGTGGGGCATGGCTTGGGGAACGTGGTCGGAGAATGGCTTCTCTGCAGGAGAGGGCTCAAACCTGCCACTGCCAATGCCTGTGGACATAAGAAAAGGAGTTACCAGGAGGGTTCAGCCCTCTGCCTTCTGAGTAACTTTGAAACTAATATTTTCCAGTGAGTTCTGCCTAGAATTCTCAAAGCCCAAATCCTGTCTACCTCACTGAGACCTGGTGTAAGATTCAATAATATCCAGAAATATTTTAATGAGCATTTCCTTCTAACATGACGGCATTTCTCTCTAGTTTCAGCACCTTACAATTGAGCACACTCTGGATCATCCATGGTTGGGACTGGCTCTGCTGTTCATATTATCTGGATGCAGTCACTCTGACTTTCCCATTAGAACAGAGAGGACAATGATGACGTGTCCTCCACAGAGCCAGAATTCCCCAGTGCCCTCTCTGTGCACCGACCTATAGGCCAGTGTGACATTACGTGAAATAAGGCTTTTGAGGTATTGTGTCTATCACAAAGACCCAGACAAACCAGTGGTCGTTATTTTAACTTTTACACTGAAATAGACCCACTGATAACGCCCTGTCGATCTCAAGCAGAGGGTTTTGGCTTCTGTATCACAATGAACGATTTCCACGTCTGCTTTCTCTATCCCCAAATGCTTCAGAGAATACTTAGGGTGACCCTGCGTTCCCACAGTCGCTGTGACATGTTTGTTGACACTGTGGTGGGAGCGTTCATCTCCGGGAGACAGAGAGCAGGTTGGAGGCAGCATAATGCTACAAAGAGAAACCTCGTTTCCCATCTCTGGGCATGAGGACAATGGACAAAACCATTTGGAGAGACCCTTTTAGACAGAGCACACAGTGTCCCTACATCCTGCTTTTCATCCCTCTCCCCAGCTCACGAGAGCCCCCCAGCTATTGGGTACCTGGAAATCTAAGGGAAGCATGAAGCTATTTCATTATGTTGGAAAGTTCATGACAATAATCTCTATTTAGACTGTGCTTTGGCCTTTAAGCTGAAGTTATATCAGTTTTTAAAGTGCATTTGTACGCATGTGCCCACATACATAAACATATACACACATGAACTAACACACGGATATACATGTATACACATATGTAAGTACAGACACACAGACACAGACACACAAACACACAGACACACACACAGACACACACACACACACACACACACACACACACTGAAAGCAAGGCCCCAAAGGGAGTTAGTAATTACAAAGGTAAACTGGGGAGCTCAGGTTTTGATCCCCACTTGCTGCAGGTAATGTATGGGCTGTAGCCTGAAGTTTCTACTTGTTCTAGGTTACCAAGAATGAGTGTGCTGCTGGTGTTATCGCTTTCTCAGCTGCGCTAAGATAGGATAGATTTTATCTAATTAGTCTCCCAGGCCTTTTCTCCTTGGAGAACATTCCCTCTTTTTTTTTTTTTTTTTGCCTCTTCAGCCTAGTCTTAAACTCTCCATCCTCTTCCTTAGTCCCTCGAGTGCTGTGATTACAATCATGGCCACCATGCCCAGCATTCCCTGCTCTTCACCATGCTGTTGGCAGGTGCTGCCTTCATTTCTGCACTGCAGTGGACAGACAGACAGCTGCAAAGTTCAGCTTCCAGGTCCCATCAAGCCCTAGGCCTGACCGGATCTGCTTCAGAGCGTGCAGCATACGGCAGTGAGTGAGTGGGGAGGGAGATCTGCGCACTGTAAGGAGAAAGCTCGAGAGCCCTGAATAGGGCTTCCAGTTAGAAGCAGGAAAGGAATCCTCACCAGGGTGTCACAGGGACCTGCCCTGCAGTGCCACAGACTGTGGTGTCTGTAGAGAAGTGGACAGCTCTCCCTCCCGGGGTGGGTGTGGGGTGGGTGGGTGTTAATGCACAGAGGTCTCAGAAGGGGAGACAGAAGGGCTCTGCCACCATCCTCGGGAGGTGTGGCTTGTGGCCTGTCCACAGGTGTCAATACCTGGTGATGAACCAGATGCCAGGGCACGGCTGTCTTCTGAGAGATGTCTCCCCCTTGATCCTTCTGTCTCTTCAGACATTCCAGGTGGAAGGAGGCCCTTCGACCTGCGGAAGCAGCAGAAGAACCAGAATAAGGGTACAAGGTGATGGCACCGGCCTGTGACAGTTCTGCCACAGCTGAGATCCATAGCGTCTACCCAGGGCCATGTAGTAAAGGCTTAGGCCCCAGTGTGGTACAGTCGAAAGGCTGGCTGAGTGTTTAAAAGGTGGAGCCTTGTGGGAAGTTTTCCACCTTTGGTGATGTGTCTTAAAGAGATCATGGGACACTGGGCTCCTTCCCTCCTTTATATTCCTGGCCAGGAGGCAAAGGGCACATTTCCGCCATGATGCACTACCTTGCCTCAGGCCCCAAAGTAATGAGCCGAGCTTCCAAAGCTGTGGAGCTCAAATTCGCCTTTCTTGTTTTGAAGCTGGTCATCTCACATGTTTTATTACAGCGAACGGTGACTGAAAGAGGCTTGTTCTCGGGTGAGGTACGAGGGTCAGTGCTACCGGTCCCCAGCTCGTTTTATGCCTCAGCTTATCTCCGAGGCATCTGAGTAGCCAATGTCTAAGTCCCGTCCCAACAAACTGTGTCTTTGGAGAGCCATCTTGTCACTGTGCATGCCTACCAGCCCCTCTCTGGAGGCTGCCTAAGCAAGGCCTGAACAGTTTCTCAGTTGTCGCTCGGCGTCTGACCATTGCCCTCTTAGAGGTGATTACCGTCTATATCTGCAGAACAAGCTGCGAGTTTACCTAGCGAGGCAGAGCGAAGGAAACCCCTCTTTGGAGACTGCTGGATCTCCCTCTTCTCCTCTGGAGATGTCAACTGTCGGTTTTCATCATCCTGGTAGGAGAGTCTGGAACAGAGAACCGTTAGCACATTAGGCACCACCCACCAGGACAGCTGCTATCCTCAGAAAGCAGTTTCCACTTTACTCAGTGAAGGCGATGCTCATCTGCGCCCCTGTACTATAGGTGTGGGGAGCAGGTAGCAGGGTGTGCTAAGAAACCTGTGCCTGCTCTCAGGCATCATAGTTGTTTCATAGGCCTGCCTGTTGGGGGTCCCAGATCTTGATACATATCCAGTGCAGGAGGCTTGTAGTTGATTTTTTTTTTTTCTTTTTCTGCTGAGCTGAGGATTGGAATTCAAATGAGCCTTGCATTTCTGATTTCAGCCAGTGGAGGCTCTCTTGGGTATAGAGAAAGTTGGAAGGATTCTAGGCCCATAACTTTCTTAGCAGTACCTTAGATGCCTGCCTGTCCTTACATAACAGGTCTATGCTGTTCACTAGGGCCGTTCTCAATGCTACCCCAAGATCCTCTACCCCTCTAATTCTTCCCTGTCTGACTGTCCTTCACTGTCAAAAGCACACAAGCCACTGCCTGTAGTGATCCTGCAGTCATCCAGTCAGCAGACAGCAGGGCAGTAGCAGCACTTAGGGCAGAGGTTCCCAACCTTCCTAACGCTGAGACCCTTTAATACAGCTCCTCATGTTGTGATGACCCCCAACCATAACATTATTTTCACTGCCATTTCAAAACTGTAATTCTGCTACTTTTACAAAACCTAATATAAATATCTGTGTCTTCCAATGGTCTTAGGCGAATCCCAAAGGGGTTGTGACCCACGGGTTGAGAACAACTGCCTAAGGACCTCTAGTTGATGACTTCCAGACTTTTTGATGGTGGCTCACAATGAAAATTTTTTATACCTATCCCCAGTATCATAGACATACCTAGCCATATGAGACACTCCACTCTTTGTATGCTCCATTCTCTCATCATTTCTATACTGCCTTAGTCGGTACTATCTTTTCCAGTGACTGCTGGCTATTACCCATAAAGTTAACTTCATGACCCTCCATTGATCAGTCTTCAGACTGAAGCACAGCTGTATTCCAGCCCTCAGTGGTGTAGCTCAGATCACGGACTGCTACCACCAATACCCTTTCATTAAGTACTTTTCTGTTTTCTTGCAGCACTGAGGATGGGACACAGGGCCATGAGCACGCCATAAAAGCCACCTACCACTGAGCTACGCTGGAAGGCTGACCGTGCAGCCTCTTTCCTCGGACTCCACCCCTGCAACCAAGAAGGTATGTACGTGCAGGGGAGTTTGCGACATGAGACTCTCAGACTCTTAGGCTGCCAAGCCTGCTTCCATCCCCCACTAGCCAAGCCCTCCCCGGGACATTTTCCTTTGACTCAGTTCTCTCCACTCTTGCAGACCTGACTTCTGCTCGGCCAGGTACACAACTCACAATTCACAGCTGTGCTGCTGCTGGACTCGGTCTGCACGTCTGTCCCCTTGGCACTGGTACCATTCTGTGGGCAGCTGGTTAGAGAGGTCCACATTTTCTCCCTGGTCTGTGATCTCTTAGCTTCCTAACTAGTTAGGAAAATCTCCTGGATGCAAATCCGGCTTCTTTGGAGTTAGGCAAGTATTCAATAAGAATCTCTCCATCTGGGCCTTTGTTAACTTTAAGGGCCCGAGAAGCTGGTGCCTACCAAAGCACTTTCAGGGAAGTGAAGGGTGTCTGCAGTAGTCATATATGTTTTTACCAGGAGCCTAGGGAGGCACATACTTAAGCACACACCTCATAAACAATATTTATTTTCGCAGTAACTTTCTGCTGTCTTCTGCTGTTCTTCTGTTTTATTTATTAGTATCAAGTATTATTAACTTAACTGCATATTTATGAAGCATGGTGTGGACCATTTGGCATATGTAGATAACATGTAGTGACTAAGTCTGGGTAGTTAATGTCCATTTCCTTAAACAGTAAAGTTTGCTGACTGATATGTAATGGAGGTTTTTAAGTCTGCCCTGAAGAGGCACAATCGGCATGCCTAAGGATGCTAATTCAGTTCCCTTAGGAATATTTAGCTTCCATCTAGATCGACTGGGTATCTGTAATGTCCAGCTGGTGAGAAGAACCAGTATTCTTTTCTTTTCTTTTTTTTTTTTTTATCAGTATTTATCAGGTGCACTGTGATAGTTCAACAGGTATGGACAGTATGTAATGAACAACTCCATCTTTTTATATTACTTTGTGTTTGGCACCTTTGAGGTCCTTCTTTCTAGTTATTCATAAAATATATGTTGACCCAACTTTTAAAAGCACTGTTCTTAGCTGGGCAGTGGTGGTGTATGCCCTTAATCCTAGCACTTGGGAGGCAGAGGCAGGTAGATCTCTGTGAGTTTGAGGCCAGCAGTCTGGTCTACAAAGCAAGTTCCAGGACAGCCAGGGCTACATAGAGAAAGCCTGTCTCAAAAAAAAAAAAAAAAAAAAAAGAAAGAAAGAAAAAGAAAAAAAAAGAGAAAAGAAAAGAATACTGGTTCTTCTCACCAGCTGGACATTACAGATACCCAGTCGATCTAGATGGAAGCTAAATATTCCTAAGGGAACTGAATTAGCATCCCTAGGCATGCCGATTGTGCCTCTTCAGGGAAGACTTAAAAACCTCCATAACAAGTTTATTTAAACATCATATATGTATGCTGACTCACACTAAGCACCTATTATTGATCACATCACTTAAGAATCGATATTTAAAGATTTCCTGGAAGTGTTTGGTAGTGAGGCAACCCAAGCTGCAGAGGGAATCCTGGGCAGGTGTTACTGATACGCCATTGTCTGGCCCAGAGGAGGGGTCTCAGTACCACTGCCGAGTCCCCACCCTTTCCTACACTTAGGGTGGCCCAGGCTTACATCTCTGTGGAGAGCAGGCTGGGCTCACTGCAGTACTCGGCGTCTTCGCCCATCCTCACACTGCAGGTCTCATCTGGAAACATCTCTTGACTCACCGAGGCCCCCCGGCTCTCTCGGGAGTGGCACCTGCAGCATCCAGAGTGGAGAAAGGCATTAGGTTCCCCCAGCCCTCCTGCCTCTTCCTCAGCAAGGAAGACGACACTGGGCACACGCAGAGACACAGTCCCATGGCTCCTGATGAAGTCAGACATGCCACAGGCTGTGTCAGGGCTCTGCGTGGGAGATTCAAGGAGGTCTGAATCTGCCCCCAACTCACTTACTCTGGCCCAAGACCTTTAGCTCACCCCATGCCTCAGGTTTCTCCTCTGTAACACTAGAGTAACACATTCCTTGCCTGATGCAGAGGCTTAGTCAGTAAAGTGATTTCCACACAAGCACGATTACCTGAGTGCAGTTCCTAGCACCCACACAACTGGCTGAACGGGTGAGCTCCAAGTTCAATGAGATCCTGTCTCAGCGGAGAGTAATTGAGGAAGACGTCTGACCTCAAGCTCTGGACTGTCAACACATGCACGCATGAGCACATGTACCCCACACAAAGACAAATGGGGAAGACTTGGTTTTGAAGCAGAGTCCTGGACTGTGCAATCAATACAGGGCACCACAGGCTAGCTGTGGAGCTGACAAGTCCCTGGAATCATATTCTATATGCCTTTGTTCTGACCCTGAGTGAAGGCACGGGGAAGAAACTTCTTCACATTGGCTTGTTCTCAGCAGGCAGAATAAGCCTGAGTCTGCGCTGAGCCTGGCTACTTCCTGAGCTGAAGAACCTGCCACACCTGGATTTGCCTTTGAGTAGAATGCTGTCCCTTCTGGGACAGGGCCTCCTGCCCATTCAGTCATTTCTTCTCCAGCTCTGGTCAAGTGCTCTTCCCCTTCCTGTGTGTGGCTCAGGACTTCCCTGCAGTTCGGTTCTCATGGACCCAGCATGCCAAAGCCCTAGGCCTACAGGGACCTATTACTGTTGTTTACTACATGGACATGCTGTCAAAATGCCTTCTAAGTATTCATGTTTGTACCCACAGATCAGTGCTCCACTCAGCCTCGGTCAGAGATACTTCTTTTAGCTGTGAGCAGCAGAGACTCATACGTGGTCCAAGTGCTGAGGATAATTTATTGTTGAGAGCTCAGTCCTAAACAAGTCATCTGCATCACTCCTTCCAAGGCTCAAGGAACATCTGGGGAGAGCTGGATGATTCCACTGTTTGCTGCCTTCTCACAAGACTGGGCCTATCAACACGCCACCGTGGAGGGGGCAGGGCTCAGGAGGCTCCACCCCTCCATGAGGGGCTATTGGCTGAGGGGAGGAGAATGGGGGCTCATCTTCAGTGTGTAACCTTCTACCCATCCATATCCAAGCAGCCCCAACTAAACTCAGTGGGCCACATACAAAAGAAAGGCAAGGAAGTAGGAAGGAGACTAGCAGGAGTAGAAGGAGACAAGAGAGGGCGATGGGGGTGGGGTGGGGCTGAATATGATGGAAATATATTCCATATGTATATGAAACTGTCAAAGAAAAACAAAACTAAATAAAATGGAAGTTTAAAAAAGGCAGTCGAGGTTTTCACAAGGCATAGCAGGGAAGAGCTAGTGCTCAGGCTGAGTCCTCAGAGGTGGTGGGACAAGTGTGGGGCCACCAGAACAGGCATGGGACAACCGCTTCATCTTAATAACCTCCTAGTAACCTAGTAACCTGGAGGCAGCACACACTCCCTGGGTCCAAGGGCTCAGCCAGCACTGCCGTGGGGTGGTTAAAGCAGCTGGACTCCCGGAGTACACGGTAGGCAGGATGGTGCCATGGCAACACCCTTCAGATGCACGGGCCATGGAGACTTGCATATGGCCACCTGCAAATGGGACTGTGTGAAAACCAGTGAGCAGGTGTGCTGCCCCGTGGATCAGGACACTTGGGATTCAGAAGAGATGCCTGAAATTCTTGCTTATATTCCAGGGCAAGAAAAAGGACAGTCGCACTAAGAACCCGTGGGCTGGAAGGGCAGCCAGTTAAGAGTGATGAACAAGAGACAGAGGGAGTCCTCTCCTCAGGAGCCTACAGCTATGAAACAGATGAAGAGGGGACCTGCCGAAGCCCAGGGCACGCTTCCTTAAGGCCTCGAGCAGGTACAGCACCCGTCATACCTGTGTCTCCTAGTGGTGTGTCCTACAGCACAGGCAAGAGAGGAAAGGGTGGGCCGGGTTGGGAGACATGGTCAAGACCCCAGGACCTATTCTGCACTACTGCTACAGAGGTGTGGACACACTGGCCAGTCTCAACGAGGTGAAAAGCCAGGCTTAGGGATCTGGGAAAGGGCAGGGGCTGGTTGTGTTGTACAGGCCCAAGTCACACATCTTGGAGGGTCACAGGTCAACACCCTGAGGAGGGATGAGAGGGAAAAGGACTGTCATAGGTAAGGCACCTCGGGAGACACCTGGAAAACAGAGCAATGTCCTCACTGTCATTGTCACGTGCGAGCAGGAGCAGATGTGGGCGGCAGGCTGGCTCCAACCTCTAGTTCGGGGCAGCAGCCTCCACTGGAGACTGGAGGCTGCGCAGAAGGCTGCGGGGTCTAAGTCTGTCTTTCCTGGTGTCCACTGGCTAGGGTGTGCGAACCCTGGTGCTCAGGCCTACCCTCCCGCTTACCTCTTAGAGCTGAGCTTCCATGCTGCCTCCTGTACCCGGACAGCGGGGGACAAGGGGGGCCCGTGGCCCTCCACAGTGCTGACCGTGCTGGGGTAGCCAGTGGGATGGGGGAAGCGGCCCAGGGCAGTGTTGTTGGCATTGTTGATGTTGGCATTGGAGCCCGTGGAGGAGTAGCTGCTGGGAGTGAAAGTGGAGTCCACCAGCTTCTCGTGGGACGGCGACTCCGTGTCACCTTGGTTGTTTCCCGTCTTGTTGATGTGCAGGGGGCGCTGGGTGGTGAAGGTCTGAGGGAAGTTGCTCCTGCTGTCACTTGGGTAGTAGCTGACATGGTTGCCAAACAGGCCTCCAGCCCTCTGTAGACAAGACAGAGGGGTAGGTGGAGAAGGCTTCTCTCCCCTCCTCCTTCTCTACGCCCCTCCCCCTCCTTGTCTGGCAGTGGTTGAGAAGCACCAGGAAGTCATCTTGCCCCTCCAGAGAGGCGCGCACTCTGGGCACATGGGAGAGGGAGGGACTTAGATGCTCATGGCTCCACAGTTCCCCTACATGTGGCACCAGGACAGGAATCCCTCATGGGCCTGGGCAGGCAGGAGGTTGCTGGTCTAGAAGCCTCCCTGGACGCTTGTTCACAAAAGAGCACTAAAGACTGAGGCTGGCTGTCAAGGACAGTCCAAGATGGCGGTCC